AGCCTTCGGGGAAGAAGCAACCGTGGATCCTTTGTGGCTCGATTGCTCGCAGGATTAGGAAGAAACGGAAGCGACTAAGTGCTCGAGACAGCTTATCGTTGTTACAAACAGCACAGTTTACTTATTTGTACCTGAGGATCGATCAACGCCCGAACTCTTTTTACGAGCGCCCTACTGGAAACCTCTGTTTTTTCTTGTTCCTTTTTCATGGACGCGTCACGCGTTCTGTGAAAGAAGTGGCGAGAGCGTTCGCGACCGTGTACGTTCAATCGATATCCCATTAGTAACGCCGAGGTCAGAGTATCGCGTGAGCCTGTGGAAACACGTTTAACAGCCGGATTGCTTTTCTAATTATTACTCCATTCAGTCGTAGCATTTTTGTCCCGCGGACATTTCCTCCGCGCAATTTCAAGCCATTAAATGCCGCCCTTACTCAGCCTCGTGCACGCTGTATGATGGAAGTTTAATTCAATTTCCGAAGCCGCGTCTGCGAACTAAGAAGTAGCAGTCTCCCTTCGTGATACGAGCGAGACACCGGGAACTTTATCCAACTTCGCGTTTAAAGATCTAAACCACTTTTGAAGCGCGATCCAGTTTTCAGCGAGGCAAGATCATCTTACATCCATCTTGACGGCCTTATTTTGGATTTCGCTCGAGGAAGCAGGCGCATCGTTGACGTCGTCTATGATGTACATAGTTTACTTGGATCATGTCCTCCGAAGAGTAGCTATCACTTTGCTAGGAAAATCTCTCTTTTGTATTCCTATTTTATTCTGCCTTTCTGCTTGCTTTTCTTTTTCCCGAATTAGTTAGACGTACTATACAATAATTCCATTTTTCAATCATCGTAAATGTTCTCCATCATTTTTTTATATCAACTGGCAAACTTCGATATTCGACGCAAGCTCTGAAATCTGGTTTAGTCTTTACGTCGTCTAACGACGAAACAGGGCCAGCCGACCCCCATGGTTTATCTCAGAAGCCATCCTAATTTTCCCCCAGCCACCAATGCCACGATGCACGTTGTGCGTAACGCGAATTCATGCCGTCGGGGTATTCTCTGTCAAATTAGGACGGACCATAACGCATACATTATGGAAACCAACGTGGCTCCCACTTGGATCGTCTTGTTCTCCGAAGCGACCTGAATAAAACTGCTTACATAGCAAAAATTAACTAGCCCTTCTTTATTCCAGTCATGTAAGACGTGTTGATCCTTCAATATCCATCGACTGTGACGAATCGTATTGTGGTAATCACTGTATTTAAAATGTACAACTTAAGTGGACGCAGAATTTGTATTGTTGACCATTTTTATTCTGTCGACGACATAAATGAAAATTAAGAGGAAGACGGTAGGCTTGAAATAGTAAAAAATCCAGTGGCGAGAGATTGTTCAAATTTAAAATACCTGAATATTAATGACAATGTGAGACACGCGAGGAAGTCAGCCAAGGAATTTGCTACGTTCATGGTATTAAAAATAAATTCCAACAACGAACGTACACAACGTTCAGACAATTATTTTAGAAATGTAGCTAAATTAATGGGTTGGAATTTTTCAAGTTCCTTAGGGCGAGAATAGCGAATGTGTAAGACCATGATTAAAAATACAAAACAGACATAAATGGAGTATCATTTCAGACAGACAGCGATAAGAAAAACAAACTTTCATGATAACCAGGAAACATTTTATGAACTTGCTACGATAAACTGTGTACAATGAACTTTAAGCTTCTGCCAGAACAAAAAGATTGAGAAATGTACAAATAGTAAATGCGAATTCAATAACGATAAAGAACGACGAGAGCAGTGAAGAGACTATAATATCATACGCTATCGGCGCGGTTGTACTAAATTACAACCATCTTCTTCATGAACCGTAAATCTGGTTAAGTTTTCAATTATGGGCGAAGTTTCGAGATATGAAACAGGAATTAGAAGGAGCAAGTTAGTCTCGCGTCGGGTATGATGATAGATACCGTCTACCTCATAAATAAACTGATTGCAAGTGATTGATGAACAGTGGCGATAATCCCAAACTTGATAAGTACAGTAGAATTCGATCGAATTTAAGTTAAGTACCAATAACTGCAATTGCAAATCACGTAGTTTGGTACTTCGTTTCTAATTAAGTACTATCTCTTGACAATGTGAAACTTCAAGAAATGTGATGACAACTATCCCAATGGCTCGTATTCGAGTTTCAACGTTTAAGATTCCGTACTAACATAATTATAGAAACATCTGGACATGCCAGCAAGTTAAACTAAGACTGATGACAGGAAGCTGGAGACGGGAACTAGTGTCGCCATGGCGGTGAACCACATGAATCCCATTCAGTCATTCGACAAACCTATCTTGGAGATGACGACGCGACGCGTTGGGGACGTGCGGTGGGCGCAATGCCTCTTCAGAAATGGATCGACAAGTTGGACTCGCCAGGCCCAAAGTCACAGCGAATATTAATCCCGTTTCCGTCGGTCGATATCCCGGCCAAACTTCTCCTCCGATGTAATCTCTCCGTGGAAATTTTCAAACCCTTCCGCCGAAGACCCCCGGTGTTATTGCAGTCACGTTACGAGGAAAGGTTACCAATAAAAAGGCGACATTTCAAGCCTCAGGCAGTAGATATAAAATCCGGAACTTTTGTGGACTAAGGCAACACAAATTTGACGATTCACCTTTCGACACTGTCTCGGCACGTTACCACTATATTAAATTCTAAAGATTCCGTAGGGGATATCTGCAATGACGAAAATACGAACGAAATTCTATTCTAGAAACAAACAGCTATGTTCCCGAATGCTATAATAATCTGGGGCTTGTATATTACATGATTTTCACCGTGTCAATTAAATCGTAATTACAGCGATTTTTGAACGAGATGTCAGTCACGTAATCCGTTTCACTCGGTTTTAATTTATTATCAAATTAGGACATCCATTTCACGGAGAAAGCGTGTGCTCAAAAATGGAACGTCTATTATTCGTTAATACAAAGGAAATTCGTGGCATGCTTAAATGAGCGCGACGTATATTTCAAAATTCGATAGAAGAGCGAAGAAGGTGACAGGTGAATGTAGAAAGGGGACATCAGGGTCGGGAAGTTGGTCGCGGCTTGCCCGGAAGACGGTATTAATCAAATGAAGCGGTTTCTGTTACAAGCGAGGCGAAGATGGGTCTGAGCTGCCTGGCGGTACCCGGGGGATAATCAATCTGGAGAATTAGATCAGATAGCTGGTTGTACGTGCGCCAGCTCTGTCTCCTTAGATTTATCCAGTCGCCAAGAAACCTGATAAAGTACACTGCGTTACCTCGATGTCGAATAAATTCAACACTTTTGCTTATCAGCCGAGCTCGATTTGTTCACGGCTTTCGTCAAATTTATGAAAACGATCGAACCGTCGTCACGTTCCGATTATATAATGTCATTTTCACAGTAATTTATTCTGGCGTTAAGAATTCTGATCTCTAAGCGTTTCTTTAAAAAAAATAAATGATCTGAAGAAAGTTTGCACACCATTTTCTCTAATTATTTTAGCTCCGTTTCCCCTCATTACTTCCCCGGGTTTTTAGAATGAATTTCGAAGCGACGATTTCAACACGTTAAAAAGAAGAACGTCATGAAAAAAGCCTCGACTGCGGTGTATTATGAGAGCAAATAATAATAAAAAATAATGTTTCTTCGCTCCCTTTAACACCGCCTTGTTTTCGCGTGAGTACTTTTTCAAACGTGACACATGTGTACGGGGATAGTTCGTGTGGCGTACAGATCTCAAAACTGCATGCTGTTTTCATCCTACCGTTACCTACGAGGCGGAAATGGAAAAATTCACGAAGATCTCTCAGATATACGGAACATGTTCTGGCAAAACGGTATCTCTTTCCCGTTTTCTCTCTGCGCCAGTCGGCGGGCGAATCTTTCGCAGTAAGAATTTGCGTACGTACAAACCTGGATCCCATGGGTGTCATTACCGGCGTAAAAGAGAGAACGTTTGTAGCGAGAAACTGCTCCCCACGCTATGCTTCTCGTACGAATATGAGCACGAAAAATCTCCACGGTTTGCGTCTAGCGAATAATTTAACCGACCACTGAATCGGATTGCAAAAAGAATTTCGCGTAGAGGAAATGCTTTTCGCGGTGCCTTTGATACTACGGAACAATCTACATTTCCTGTCTCATTAAATGAATTGAATGTTTTATGCGAAACCATTTCTCGTTACTCCGAGAATGAGCGTAAGGGAATAACTATCAATCGTACAAAGATTATAAAAGATTTTAATCTCGTGAGAGAAATGACTCTAAGTTTCTTTCATTCACAATTTACAACTCCTCCCTGGATTAATTTCAAAGAGAATCATGAATTCACATTTTGTGAGTCGCATCTGTGTGTGCAAATTAAAATTTGTTAATCGTGACACAATTAAGAAGTTACTTAATTGCTGAAAACTATCAAAAGCTTATGCTCAATTAGTGCTTAATACTCGGAAATTTTATTACAATATTTTTATTTTGATTATAAATACAATCGTATCCATACATTCTTATATAACGACGGATAAAAACTACGAGCGACTCTGTATAGTATCAAGTTACATATCTCCCACAAAAAGGGCCTTTTATTGTCTATGCATTTTAGAGGTAAAAAAAAGATATGAATTGTGTCAAGGAAGAAATTAAAGACACAACCGGGCCACTAAGTGGGCAATTATGTATATATAGCGTACTTGTATCATTACTAATAGGGCGCTAATGACTTAATTAGTACTGCAGACGGTACGAATATTGCACGACTGAATGCGGTACTATTTGCCCGAATTAAATCAGTGCAATCCAAAACGACTCACCCACGTGCACGCACACACGCACACATTAATTGACTGTATTATGCGAACTCGTGTTCTAGGAAACCAGGAAGGGATACATATTCAATCACTCTATTTTTCGATAAATAAAATAGCAAGGATAACTGTAATATATTGAAAGAAACTCAAGCGATTTGTGAAAGCAGTTTTATATTACAAAAATTATATTCAATAAGGCGTCAGGATATTCGTTACACGATAACAGGACGTTTGGTATTTTGATTGCTCAATGACCTATTACTAACATTATCTTACTACACCTAGATGATATAAATACGATTAATAGCTAATTGATTATTCTGCGAAATAGTATAATTACATGCCCTTACACATATTGTATATAAATATGATCTATCGAAGTTGAGATAAAATAACACCCAGTGAAGGAAATACTATTTACCAAAAAATACACTTTCTTATACCGATACGACGATTGGTTAGTTTGATTTTTTTTAGAAAATGCGCATGATATTTTGAAATTGGAAGAATCTGTTTACACCTTGTCGTGTACCATACCTCAATTACGTCAATATTGCCTTACGATTATCTAACTAAACAGGATATTAAAAATTAAGGAATCTTAATACGTCCCTCATATTTGCAGTCGTTTGTGAATAATAATAATAATTATTGTTCACGATTTTGATACATCTAAATGCGAATTTGGAATACTCATTAGACACAAGGTTCCACGTAATTGCCGGGGAACAAACCTGTGATACCGTCCATAACCCCCTCCCACCACCCATCATCATTCTTTTTTAACACATAAATTACAGAACTTTCTTGGAAGCTCAATTCATCCTCTTTATCGGCATAATAATCATAAATTGCAACAACTGAAATGGTAATATCTCATTATAGAAAATAAAATACAGGTACTTACGGAACATTGCTACACTCCTCAGGACACTCTCACGACATACCTTTCTCGATGTAATCTTTTGGCACCCATCCAGGCAGGTCTTCTTCATCTGGCACGATAGGCATGATAGCACCGTTCGATTGCGTGGGCCTACCGAACTGCGAATGCTCTTCTTGTTCTGGTGGCGGAGGCGGCGGAAGCGGTGGGCTACTTGCGCCACTACTTCGAGTAATTTGATGACTTAATCTGTCCGATAACGTATGGTAACTAGTAAAGTCTAATGTATTGCCACTTATGCCGACTAATGGCGAAGGTGGAGCTACAAATAAAAGAAAGAAGACAACGTCAATTTTTCACTTTATTATCGAGTACGAGTAGTACGAAGTGGAAATGAAAAATACTTACGCGGCATGCTATTGAGTTGCTCTTGCGCATACCCTGCTGTTACACTAGGCGGTGCTGGTGGTGGAGTTTGGGGATGACTTTGCAATGGATGCACTGTTCCCACTTGAGGTGGTGAAGTGTGCTGGCTCGTAGTAGTTGCATGTGCATTGTGATTAGCATTATGAGCAACATGAGACGTAGTGTGCGCATGTAGAGGTAAGGTACTATAGCCAGGACCGCGTTCTCTTCTTTGATGGCCCAGCGGATAATTAGGAGCATAATGACTAGGAACTTGGGGTGGAGCAACAGCTGGTGGCGTCCTGTATTCTCGTGACCCTTTACTCAATGTCCCTGCGAAAAGGTGTCCTTATACTGAACCGAGTTCAAGGATATTATCAAATAAAAATATTTCTGTGATTCAATTTACCAGTTCTTACTGTCTGTGGAGGAGTAGGTGGCTTAGTTGTAGGAGCTGGCCCGACCATTGCAGCACCTAATCCAGATCCAGTGGAAGCTGCACCCAAACTCTGAACGCTACCCTGACTTCCACCACGTTGCTTGCTTCTCGGAGTACCGCTGCTACGTACTCCATGACCAATGTCGTCCAAAATCGTGTAGTCAATACTTTTCCTTACATATTTAATAGGTTTCTCTGGATTCGCTGGTGCAATAATTTTGTACTGGCGTACCGTAATCTTGTTCGCCGTCAAAACTCCAATTTCTCTTCTAGCTACTTTCTCTTTGTGTATCATAACTGTTTGAGCAATGTGGTTCATTTGACTTTCCATTTCAGCAAGCTGGGACGTTTGTAAGTCCAGCAATTGTAAAAAATTATAGGCAAGAGTATTTATCTGGTAGGCTACACTAGCCAATGACTGAGTGGTAAAATTTTTGGTCTCTTCTAAAGCTATTCTCTTATTCTCTGCTTGAAAGTAGTTTGCTTCACAATAATCAGCAACTCTCTCAAGATTTATATGATTATCAGCCAGATTACTCCTTCCCTCAGGAATTTCCTGACCAAGAAACGCTGCTAATTCTGCCATGACTTCAGAATCACTGCCTACTCCTGATGATACGCAATAAGAACTGGATCCTTGAGGGAACAGTGATATTTAAAGATTTACAAGAAGAATTCTACATGATGCTCATTGTACAAGACATTTTGTATTACATTGTACAATCATTCACTTTAAACAGTATTAAACACAATAGTTCGGTTATGCAGAGGAAACATAAAATAACTTTGAATAAATTGCAAAGAAAGTTAAAAGATTTGATTTAAAAGAATGAGGTTATGTAAGTGTCATGAAAACCCGTGGGAAACTAGTTAAGCAACAGAAATAAGATGAGCAGCATCTTTCTTGATTATTTCATTCTTGTCAATAAAAATGAGGAATTGATAGATAATAATTATCCGAAGGGCGGTGTCTCGCATGCAGGAAGTAAAATGGAGACGAAAGGCGACGACTCAGTAGCAAATAAAACGTCAACACAATAAACGATATTAAAAAATAGAAAATGAACTAACGGTACTCAGCCATATCGTAACTATCAGCTATTACACCTTCATTAATTCATAATTACCAAGGATCTAAGGAAACCGATAGAAAATAAATAACGATTCACGTCAACACCTCCTGCACGGATGATAGTATTATATGACTACGACTTCGTGAAGCGCCATCTACACGGAAAAGTATTATCCAATGTGGTAGTCAGTACAGTACGCACTATACTATGCGTTTACTTTGCATATGTCGAAGTAGCCTTAGCAAATGCGTTGAAATGACACGACGCTCGATATGAGCGAGTAATCATCACCGAAATATTATTGTACGGGCATTATTTTGTAATTTACCATGTGTTTTTGATTTTGGCGAAAGTCGAATCGCGCACATGATACTTGCATAAACGTCAGGCAGGGATATATTAAAACGATACGAAAGGGAAGGAAAACTAACTCGACGAGGGGACGAGCTGTTGGAAAAAGGGAAAGATGACAGGTACATCGAGACCTCGTATCGATTACACCACCGAGACATTGAAGATTACAAAATACAGCAATTACGTTGTAAATTCACAAAGGCAACTGAGCAAAAAAGGTATACGTTACAATTGTAGCACGAACTATTAATATTACAAATCAAAAGATCCTTGTCGAATCGACACATGGTCGGTATGCACGATAACGAAAGTGTTGGAGCAGCTATTCCCTCGTGGCAGAATGTGTTCGGAACATCGTAAACGAGGATCGTGAAAAAGCCAATAACTGTATATTTCATTGATTAAGGGCATTAGGCTCGATTTGAAGTGCTATTGTTCACAACAATTTAGTGAACGAAACGTTCTGTGCATTCATGCCAAGCTAACGAATCGACACAATAGAGTTGATTTTCGAGCAGGCGATCGTTAATTTTTTGTGGTACTTGACTTGGTGAAATACATTGAAAATGAATGATCTTTTGAAAGAATTGGAAGCTCTAAAAATTACGGGCGATTTCACCGTCGAAGGTCTATGGACTACGTGCATTGATCTTATTGAGAAGACTTACGTTCCTGAAAACTTAATCGGCCATGCCCGACCATGCCAAGAAGAAGATTTCGTAGAATACCGAGTATTCGTAGACAGAAATTTGCGAAATATCCGTTCTATGCTGCAACATATCGTTCGCACTCGCAATGAACAACATGTGCAAATATATTTTAATGCACCAACAGTAACAACTTTTGCTATCAAACTGTTGCTGCTCATCGGTGAACAACATGAAAAGAATGTTTGGAACACTATCGAATCAGTGTTTATTTCGAAGGAATTGACGAATGGATTCTTAGAGTTATATGGATATCAAAGTGTTGCACAGTTCTTAACAGAGCAAGATAATCTTAATACACTACTGTTGGAGTTAAGACCTAAGTTATTAAAAGACACTTGGAAGGCTTTTCCCGCAGCCTTAGCATGTTATAAGTGGATTTTATATCAAGTTGAGGTTTGTACAAAATTAGTTGAATGATTAACAATTGAATTACACATTAAAATCCATATTCTTTTTCCAGAAACCAGCTTTGTACACCCATATAGAAAATGTGCTTCCAACAGCTTTAATAGTAATTGACGATTTTGTGCCAGAAAATGTTGTTATAGGTCTCGAATGTTTACATCAAATTATCCAACATTCTCATTTGGTAAGATTTTATGTACAACTATTCAATCATCAACATTACTAACTTAAATTTTATGGATGCAGAAAAAGGGATTGGTTGATAGTGGATATGCCAATGCAATTTTTCATACTTTAGAGCGTTTAACTCATAAGAGAGAAGCTAGATACGTGATTTTGGTATATTTATGCATAACAAGTTTACTAGCTACAATAGAGCATTGGGACAAATTTTTAAATGTATTTGAAGTAAGTCAATATTTAGAGTACGCATTTTGATAGGCACATGAGTCCTACAAAATTTTACCTTGTTACAGTGGACATTGAGAGACAACATCCTGGCTGTACTACTGGATAATATAGAGTTTGAACAATGTGTAGAATTAAGGCGTGTCTACATGATGAGCTTGCGCCAACTTTTAACTAACAATGGTTGTGCCAAATGGTGTAAGAGGCTAACGAGAATACTTTCTGAATATTGCGAACATCATACAGACCTCAAGACATTGAAAGCAACATTGGAGGCAAGTGTCTTTACGTATAATCCTTACATTATTATATTGTTTTATTGATTTGATTGTGCATTTTTAGACTGCGAAAACCTTCGTTGTGATGTTTCACCTTCGCGCGGCTGCTCACTGCGCACCTTTGTACACAGCATTTTTAAAACTGCATCATGATTTAACAAAAACTCCGGTACTTGACAAAGAAATAATGCAAAATTTAGAGGACTGTATTTGTTTGTTGTATAAATTATCTCCGAATGTTGGGTGTGTAGTTATGAACGATGATAGAATACAGTCATTGATTAAAAATAGCCTACCAGTAGTATGCTTAGGTGATACCAAATATTTTCAATAAATAAAATGTGTAAACTTATCGTAAACTGTATCTAATAAATCATTATTTAAGAAGAAAATTATTTTTTGTAGCTTCGTAGAATGTAGCATGACGAAATATAATAATAAGTACTTAGTTCTCATTTTTGTGATTTAATAAAAATGTACTTTTTATTGTAAAATAAAAAATTTTGTTAGAAATTCTGTTTTATATCTTTACATTTAATTGTCACATGTCGGAAATTTTGTTCCTATTCATCAACCTGTTGATCAAGCTTTGTACAGGGATCTCATGTTGAACTTTGAGACTTAATATCTCGGTTTTTAATATCGTAACAAGGGATCAGTTTCTGAGCACATATAGAGGACACTTGAATTAAAATTCTAGTAAGTATAAAAAAAATGTAAGAAAATAAATTTTTATGTGAGCTTCCTTAATATTTTTCTCCAGAATTTGTTGATTCAATATTTTAAGTAATATGGAAAGATACTGTTAAGAAAAAGTAATGAAAACAAGTATATTCTATAAAATTGAAATAACATCAAACGACAAGGAAAATTACAGAAAGTAGTACAGTCCTTACGGTAAGACTTTTACAGACTTTTTTAGGATGTTTTATGTATTTCGGCTTATGAAGAGGAGAGTCTTGAACTTTGTATGGAGAGATAAGATAACAAAGTAATTATCAGGAGACATAAAAACAATGAAACTTATTCAATAGTTGCAAAACGTGTTACATTGATAAATAAAATAGATTAGGAACAAATTATTACTTCGTGTTCTGTGCGTGTACGAGAATGTCTCCGCTCTTAATTGGTATCATATTTCTTTTACTATTATACAGAATTTACGAGTACGTGACACGGGTACCACCAAACTTACCACCATGTTAGTTCTATCAAATTCTCTCAATTATCTCCGTTATTCATGTTCTTGTGTTATAAGTAAAATGTCTTGTGTCCAAAGGTCTTCCACGTCTACCAATAGTAGGATCTTACTGGCATTTATTATGGCACAATTATAAACATCCTGCCAAAGCTTTGCCATACTATACGAAGAAGTTAAAATCTGGCCTCGTTACGTGTTACATGGGTAGTTTCCTGACCATTATCGCAAATGATTATGACTCTATTAAAGAAGTACTAACAAGGGAGGAATTTGACGGAAGAGAAGCAGGCATAGACATTTTGTTAGAAAGATCATTCAGAGAAAAATTAGGTGACAAGTGAAATTTACTAAATGTGTATAAAATGAAAGTATAGAAGCTAACATTGAAGATACAATTCCAGGCATCTTTTTCACGGAAGGCAAATTATGGCAAAAACAGAGGAGATTCGCCCTACGACACATGAGGGATTTTGGATTCGGCAGAAGACATGGGAAGTTCGAGGCAAATTCAATGGAAAATGTTGTGTTGCTAATTAAAATGCTAAAAGAAGGTCCCATCAATAAGGAAGAAGAGGTAATTTTATAAGGGAGTTAATATTGTTTTACGAACTGTAACAGTAAATTTAATGCACGTAACAGACATATTTGAGAAACGGTTGCGCATTATTTCCGGATATCTTGTATCCATATGCTGCAAACAATGTATGGGATATAATGTTTGGAGAAAGATTAGATCGATCGGAGCATCACAAACTAAGATACATTTGTAAGTCTGCTATGTTGTTCCAAAGATCCGGTGATACTACGGGTGGAGCAATTGTTCAATTTTGGTATTTAAAATATTTCGGAAACATGTTTGGATATAAAAATTTTATAAAGGGAAGTTGTAGACTACGAGACTTTATCGAGGTAATTTCAACCTTCAGTTCATTTTCGGGTAAAATCGAAATAATATAATTGAAGAAGTGAACATTATTAATTGTCATAGGAACATGTAGACAATCGACAGTACTCTGGTAATAGCGATTACGATAGAGGATTAGTTGATCGGTATTTAAAGGAATTGGAAGCAACCAAGGATACTTTCTCGAAAAAACAGCTTCTCATGACTCTTCTAGATTTTATGTTTCCAGCTTTGTCTGCGATGCCAAGTGCTATTCTACACACAATCAAACTAGTTATGCATCATCCAAAAGTTATGAAAAACGTACAAGCAGAAATAGACAGCGTTGTCGGAACTGGAAGGCTTGTTACGTGGGACGATAGGCAAAAGTATAATGCACGATAAAAAATCTTTTAAAACGTATAAAAAAATGTCTTTTTTCAGTTTGCCATATACTGAAGCAACATTACGCGAGTCTCTCAGATATGAAACATTGACGCCGTTTAGCGTATTTCATAAAACGCTAAAGGAAACTACTATTCGTGGTTTCACCATTCCAAGCAATACGTTAGTTGTAACGAATTTGGCTGGAATGCATAATGATCCCGATTTTTGGGGCGATCCCAAAAAATTCAAGCCTGAAAGGTTTCTTAATGAAGATGGTCAATTATGCAAAGATTACTCACTTCCTTTCGGACTTGGTACGTGAGGAATTTCGAACAAGTGTCAGTGTATAATATTTTGAATGGGTAATGTTTTCTTCCAGGGCATCGCGTGTGTGCAGGTGAAACCTTTGCCAGATATACACTGTTCGAAGGGTTCGCTGCATTAATGCAAAATTTTAATTTCTCGTTTGTGGAAGGTGAGCCAACAGGTCTTGAGGACAAATTGCCTGGTCTCATTGTCACCCCAAAAGAAACGTGGATACGAGTAGAGCCGCGTTATACTTAGTGCGCAAAGACCACTTCTTTATAAAATTCATTTAATACTACTCTCCTAATTGTAAGGCAGTTTTATAGGAATAGACAGATGATGTATACAATTTGTGTACTGTAAGTTTATTTTATAATTCGAGATAGCCAGAGACGAAAATTACATTGCATCCAATAAACGCAATTGATATACAAAGGTTTTTATTAGAATTATTGCCTAGAAATAAATTGTAATTTCTTATACTTGTTTGTTTAAAAAGATGATTTTTTTGAATGATGGGTGCTCAGGAAAAAAAATTGTATATACAGATATTGCAGTCCTGAAGAAAATAGGGAAGATATGCTTAATCTTATGTGCAGTAAAAATTAAGAAATTATGTAATTATATACATCTTAATATTCATCTTCCCTAATTTATCATTCTTCCTTTCTCTTCTTTTATACAGAATATGTATCGATCTTTTTACTCAGTGAAAATAAACAAGATTTACGTACATATTTTATCTGTTCATTGTTTTGACAACTTTTACATTACAAATACAAACACTGAAAATGCTACTAAGTACGAAACAAAGGAATCCGATATCTATATAGTGTTCTATGTCGTTCGTGAAAACATTCGTAACTAGTTTATTAAATAAATTACTGAATTTCAAAAAAGTAATAGCAAATATTACTTGCAAATGAAGAAGTTAGTACATTTAATTTTACCAATAATAACTCAACATTATGTATTAATACAGTACGAAAGTACTGTAATTTTACATGTTCTTTAATATTTTCTTATCGCTATTCGAAATATACACACAATTTTTCGATACTATTACATCATCAACCTCTTGCATACAAAAGATTTTTCAAGTGGTATGAAATTAACAGGACATAAAATCACATCATACATATGTGTATTTGAGTTATCAATTTAATTTTACAATGAACTTCCTTCGTAGATGTTCAGGCAGTCTATCTCATATAAATTTTTATATGAAATATCCTCATTCTCTGTGTACCAAAACATATAATCCCAGACAAATTAATACTGCGTACTTAAATTTGGGATATTCATTCATGTATATTGTGACAATTCCCACATAAGGCAGGAAAGCCCTTGCTCTACCAACAACGTCTTTACGTGTCAACCATAATTGACCAACCGCATATAAACCTCTATCATCAACAGAATTGTTATCACCTTTTGTTAGGAATTTAACAGTATTGTTTTGATCACCCCTAAAATATATGAATTATTGATCAAGTAAATATTACCTTATGCCTATATTCGTTAGTGCTATCGTTATCCTAATAGTACTTACTTTTCATGTAGCTTAAGTACTCTGTGTACAATTGGTATATCTCTACCCTCAACTTTAAAAACGACAATCTCTCCTACTCTTACTGGCTCATCTTCGTAATTGGTTAATAACAACAAATCCCCCCTGTGGAATGCTGGTTCCATACTACCACTATAACATCAAAGTAGAAATACGGGAAATGAATTTTCGAACTAACAAAAGACTTCTCAATATGTATTTCACAAGACATTAGTCTATGGAAACTTGATTTTTTTTATAAGAACCAACCACCTTTAGATATTGAACCCGTAAATAATCTAATACTCGCAAGTCAAGGACGACTAAGAAGAACAGTATAAAACAAATCCAAATTAATGACTCAAAGGAGCGAATTGCCACTGTTGTAGATTGTTTCTCCCTTCATATTCAAGATATACTACCATTCTTTTGATCTGGCACCACTAACTACTAACAGATATATAATTACCAAGGACGTAAAAGCAGTTCGTTTAAAATCTCTGAAATCAAGTACATAAACACAGTCCTTCCAGATTGTCCTCTTTCATCTCATTTTCCATCGTTAATAATTAAATTATTTACTAATCATGTGAATAAGAAAGTAACAGGCAAGATCAAAGGAACTGTGTCCAATTTTCATTTAAAATACGAATACTTATATAATTTAAAATGCAAGGTTAATTCCAATATCCTAAAAATTACTTATGAGAGCAGAGTGAACAGTATGTGAAAATATGAGCCATCATGTAAAATTTCATAGGAAATCAATAGTATTACATTCTTAAAATTAAACCTATTCCCGCGTAGGGTGCTTCGAAGCAGCTATGAGGTTATACATTCAAATACCTGAGAACAACTACAATCGGACTTTCGCTGCCTGTTACGACCATCAAACCTTTCCAGATCATTAAGGCGGAGGAGACGACCATTGCAAAGCTTAACATTTGATACAGGAACTATAAATAGAAGAAAAAGCGATCAGAAACTCATATTTTATTCAATCGACCATATGTGCGTGCGCGAAATCGTATACGACGATCCGAGCTAAGATAATTCATTTACCTGCCGTTTATTCATTCGCCGTACATCGTCAAATACAGATTGCAACATGGTCGCAATTATTTTACTACAAAAATTACAATAACCAAGTAAACAAAACAATTTCAATTCTACTCTGCTTGAACACAACCGTGAACCGGCAACAAACCAGTCAGTGTGTCTGTGTCTGTATTACCACGTCACGTCATAAGGAACGAGGAATAGAGATGGAGGAACAGTTTCAAAAAGGAACAGTCCGCAATCCGCGTTCCTCACTTTTTAGAGAATCGCGCGCGGAAATAGTTTTAAACAGCGTACTTTAGCCGGTTATTTTGTCCGATTAAACAGTGTATTTATACGTTTCGGTGCTCAAATATTATCTCAAACGATCGGGCTCGTTCCGTAGTTATCGTGGAAGTGTGGTCTCGCGAAGTCATTCGTTATGTACTGATGATATCGAAAAAGTTATCCGCTGACCGTTACATGCTGGATAAGCAGCCATAGTGAATTAAGAAGAGTGATCATTTTAACTCGGATATAGTGCATGAAGATTTTGTCAACAAAAGTCAGCACATTCATCGGCACAACAAGTGCATAAAGGTAAGCGCATTTTCCAGTAATGTATTGTTTATTTGCCAAAAGTCGAGTCTAAAATTTAAGGTTCATGCGTGACGTAATCGTAGGACGAGTGCAAAAGAAGGCACAAACGTATGCACGTTAAATGCATACAAAACGTGTTATATTGCTTTTAATGAACGTACAAAGAGATTAGAAATCATCCATAAAATTTATCCTTTTTCTCTAAATCGTCGGATTTGAATCGAGCAGCAAACATTTCTGGAGCCATGTTCACTTCCGCGTCGATCTTTTGATACTTATTAGTATCGTTACGTATATCATCCTCGTTAAAATTCTTTGGTTTGAGTGCGGTTCCGATAAAGTCGGTCCTCTTAATGGAATCGCCGCGTCCCTGACCTTCCTCTTCATCAATGTACCACTGTGATATCATATCCTTCAGTGGCTGCAAATGATTCACATTTTTCTGAACTTTTTCCAATTCCTCGTTACAAAGGCGTTCCACTTCTATCAATTTTTGTTTGTACACATTTGCAATCATTTTCCAACAAGCATTGTAACGTTTCTCTGCCTGGCTAAGCGAGTATTCGTCTTGATATTTCGCCAGTCGTTTCTCGTATTCGAGTATCGTTAATTCTCTGAACACGTCCTCGGAAGTAATATCTAAAACGTTACCTGCACTATAAATCAACTGTCCTTTTTTCTTTTACACGTTTTCTTTTAAAATATTGTATATTACCCAAAGTGTTAGACAATGGTGATTCTGCTGCGTAAGCCGCAGCAGCAGCACGCGCGGCTGCAGTTGCTTCTTCCAGAGCTAACGCATCGTCCTTTTCTCGTAAAAGTTGATACTCTTCTCTTTCCCTTCTCCAAAGCTCTATTTCCCTTTTCAGTTCTTGCCCCAGAGTCTTCATTATTTCGCTGAGCGATTCTATGCGTTCCCGAAGAATGTAGCTATTAGTTATGAAAATCGTTCAATTCAACACACGATGGTTCATTCTTTTTTTTTTTAATTAAAAGAGGAATATAACGTATACGTTAATTCTTTATCTTCTTCATCTAACATCATCGAATCTTCCGATTGTTCGAGAACGGCAGAGAGTTTTTCCAGAGAATCCTCATTTTCGGAAGGGCACGGGTCAGAACTTGGAAGCACGCTCCGTAGATCCAGTGTTAAATCATGATCCCCTTGATTCTTTTTCCTCTGTTCATCGCCAGACTCTTTACACGGATTATCGATATTCTGCATTGTCTCGCTATTGCTCGAGGAATCTGTGGAAGACGTGTTCTCGATCTCCATTTGTGATTAGCAATTCAATAAATTATTTCTAAGCGAAGATGGTCTATTTTAAAGATCTTGACTGAAGTTGTTTCATTTTACCTACTTCACTTGCCGACGTGATATTGTTTCTTAAATATATTTGTATATAAATATAAATATTTATGTTTGGGAGCGTAGAATGAGTAGACTGTGGGGTATATAAGTAGAAGGTGACATAGTAATGATTTTCCGTTAATCGTGTTAAGAGAACATTAGAAAATCTCCTCGCCTTCGCTTCACATTCGATTATAATGCTTGTTTCTAAGGGAAAATTACCGATCTCCATACAAAAAGGGTATGTACGTGTGTTGTGTTAAATTTTTGATACAGGATGGTGATACATATAGTGACTCCTTGTACCATCGCAGTACCACGTTAGTTTAGTAGTTTGTTATTGATTTCTCTTTGTTGAGGCTGAATATTTGAAGTAATCGATAGTTTTCCACTATATCGAACCACAGAACAGAAACTTTTCAGTCATAAATTACTTTTGTAGATGAATGAACTCGTTATTTAAAAGGAAATAAACCTTCTGTGATATACCGCATTTTAGTTATACATTGCTGCAGGTTATGTGCATTAGTTTTGATAGTAACGAAGAGCACCGGAAACATTGTATTTGTTGAAATCAGTTTCAACGTGTTGGTTTCAGTATTGAAAGTTCATTTATTCGCTTTGCGACGTAAGACTATACGTTTTAAAATGCGATGATAGGAAGAGGTTAATTAGAATTCGAGTACAGAAGGATTATTGTGAATTTTCCGTGTACCAAGATTCTTCACTGACAGAAAACAATGTTCATATATTTCTGGTCACTGGTTTGCTGGTATTTCAGACCTGTAATAAAGTGGCTATTAAGACACACGACACAAATGTGTGAACTCCAGAGGATCTGTTACGGAGAACTAGCTGGAGCACCGAGAACATTGGCTGTAGAAGAATCTCTCAAGTTGTCTAGGAACCCAAATATCAAAACTCTGATAGCCTACTTAAATGATTTTGCTGATCAGTGTGCGATCACTAGTGAGACAAAGCATAAAATTTTGAAGGAAGCTATCGCAACTGTGCTGGTAACTAAAAAGATAAATCCAGCAGCACACCCTGACTTTGCTAAGTCATTTGGCAAGTGTGTAGAATTAATTTGGGGCTATAGACAACTTTGTGTCCAATGCGAGGATCTTAGGAAAACCCCTTACGATGCAGACAATCCAGAGCATGAATTGTTACTGTTGAAGTTGTGGAACTTGTTGATGCCTTACGAGCCTTTAGACGCCAGAGTCACCAAGCAATGGCAACACATTGGATTTCAGGGTGATGATCCAAAGACAGATTTCCGTGGAATGGGAATTTTAGGACTAGAAAATCTCGTTTATTTTGCTCAAGAATATCCTAGTGCTGCGACGCATGTTTTATCACATTCTACCCACCCTCGTTATGGTTACGCATTTGCCATAGTTGGTATAAATCTAACAAGCATGGCACTAAGATTGTTAAGGGATGGAAGTGCAAAGACTCATATTTATAATTACTCGAGGAGCTTGCCGACTATTCGTGCATTCCATCAATTCTACTGTTATCTCTTCTACGAATTTGATGGATTTTGGATTCATTCGAAGCCTAACAACATGATGGAATTTTCTTCGATACAAGAAAAATTCGAGAACAGTATTAGAACTGCGTTAACTAACAAATCCACGGTGTTTAGGATAAATATATCAGTTGACGATGTTTAACGTATGAGAGATATCTTCTGTTGATAAGACCAAAAATATCAAACAGGGAATGAATGTAAATTCTATTGTTGCACAAAGCTACTCTCTTGTAATATATGTTGCACACAGTGTCTTGTGAACGAATAGAGCATCATTACTATGAACTTTCAGAAAGATATATACGAATAATTGTCTTCAAGTTATTAAGTTACAGAAAGATACGAAAACAACTTGATACTACTTGATACTATATTTTTACTTTATTTTTCTAATGGCCATTAAATGAATGTGAGAAATGTATGTGTTACCTAATGAATGTGGACTCACATTCAAACAAAAAGTCTTAGCATAAATAAGTTAAAGTACAATGTATGTCCAAATAAGTATTTTACGTTCGATCTATTTTTATTTAATTTTTATGTGGATGAGTTGTTCTCATTATATTAACACAGACGTTTTTCTTGGAAGGAAAATATCATGTTTAGCAGATTCTTCATTGTTTGTAAAATGACAGTTTTTATTAAAAGTATATTTATTGTAAAAGATAGAGAACATTTCTGTTAAATAAATTAGACCTGCATTATAAGTCAACATATTTTTTACGAAATAGAAGTCACGAATGTCAGAATTAGAATGCGCACGTATTTGTATCGTTTCAAAACATATTGTAGGTATCGATTAAAAATATAGAATTATTGGAATGGATTATAAAACTTGTTAAATGTAAAAGATAAGAAGTTAAATTTATCTAAAATCTTTAATCGTCTCAAAAATAAATTGTGCTTTATACAAAATCATGAATGCTAATAGCTTGGCATAGTACCCGTAATATACGTATTTGATACATGAGATTAATTAGGCCTTCTTCTCAGCCAACTTTTTGCGCTGTTGATATTTCACTGTCGAAACAATAATCACGATAAGAGTACTTATACTGCTAAGCGTCATCATCCACGGGCTTTCGAGCAGAAATTCTATAATCATTTGTATGGGATCGCCGCTAAAGATAAAAAGAGAATATTTGTAATAATCCTAGTATGCATAAAGCGCTGAATAATATGTTCAAACTTACATTGAACTTTGTGGTACGGGAACGGATTCAACGTTTTTGTATCCTTTCTCGGCAAACGAGACAAACGAGTTAATGTCGTACTTTCGAATCTTATAACGATACATTTTACCGTGTCTGAAGCTGCAAGTACAAAATAAATTGTGTAACGCAACATAACACGAGAATTTTATTTATGACAATAATCTCCTAAATTATTATTCTCAGGTACGTACAATATGAATTCGGGAACTTCCTGAATATTAAATCTCCTTGCTGTAGATATTCCAGTTGTTTGCTTATTAACGCGTGCTACATTGAGTCTTTGTTTAAGCCTTGCACCCACAGTCTCCCATCTTGCAAACATCCTCGCACAATCCACGCAATCTGTACTGTAACTGTTTAGGACAGAAAGTATTAAATGTTCATACAAAAATTCCAAGATATACCAGACATTAGAGAATCTTGAAACTTACAACATAACAAACCAATCACCGGTTGTAGCTCCCGTACTTGCTTGAGTTAAATGTTCAAACGTCTCATCTGTCAATTCTTTGACTGCAGGTTCCTTATTTTCAGTGAATAACATAGCAATAGCTGGAAGTGTTTCGTCATTTACTGGACCTATAAAAAATGTTTAATGTAGATATTACGAAATGACAAAACTTGCCTGTCATATTGATAATAAATATGTGGTTATACCATCATAAAGTAGAGGTAATCCATGTCTGAAGTATACGAGCATTGGTTCTTTGTCAACACTGTAGAGCCTCAGCAGTTGACTGTCAATAGCTTTGACAACAAATGCATGCATGGACTTCACGAGATCTTCTTTCAACTGGATCATCCAATTTTCATAGTTCTCACACTTCTCGCAATCCCAAGTTGCTGTAAATAACATACATGTATTAATAAATTGAATGAACTTTTATGTCAGGGAATTTAAACAATGAATAAAACAAGAAAATAATATATTTTCAATTCTCTAGGCTGTGCAAAGATTTCCCAGAATAAACGAAGTGCATTGAATTTTTTTTATTAAAAAAGGATCTTATTCAGCGTTTTCATAAATTGTCATTTAACTCAGCGCTTGAGAAGTTCTTTCAGAGACGAAAGAAAATAAAACTTTATATTCGAACTTACTGAAAAGCACGACCACATATTTCTCAGTTTTTATAAGATCTACGAGCTCCTCATCGCTCACTGCTTCGAGAATGTCGGAGTGAACATCAGCAAAACCACATATCAGTATGAAAATTATTACTTTTAGCATTTCGCCTTGAATTATATCGACAATATTGCGTAGAATATTTTCACCGGCGACCCATGCACTTCAGAGGTTAGCGTTTTCTGTTTTACAGTTCCATCTCATCCTACAATCTACTAAACATTAACATAGGTCATAGTTGTTTTCGTTATACTAAATGCTTGTAATCAGGAAAAATTAAGTTTCTTTTAGAAAATTCTTCTAATAATTAAAGATTTTATTGATTATTCTGTATTTTATTCACAATGTTCCTTGAAATTTATAAACTAGTTTCATACTAATAATAATTTTTAAATACTCGATATAAACTAAATTACGTTGCAAAATTGTTAAAATAGCATAGTATGCGAACTTAAAGTATTTGTCATTTAGAAATAAGCGATCGCGTGTCTAATTATATTTTATTAAGGGTAATAGTAACTGGACTGGTATACAACAATAAAAAAGTTTCGGTTTTCGAGCCCCTGCGTAAACGCAGATCCATTTGGAATGTCTGCATTTCTTGGGAGATTTTTAAAACAAGTACTATCATCAGGCCACTTTACTTTACTTAGTTTCGCCTAGTTTGAATCTTTTTTGTTCCACGCTTTGCTCGTACCCTCGTCGAAAGTTTTTACGTTTCGTACGTTTGTAAATCCCTTTCTGCGCGCAGCACACGAAGGTAAAGTCAAGAAGGATATTTTAGCAGGACAACGCGCTCGTGTGTCTGCCTTGAAAAAGTAATAGCGCTCTCAGCAAATAGAACAACTGGTTTCGTGTAAATATTTCCGCGGCAGCTTGAGTTATGAATTCTCTTTCTTTTTCTTTACGGCACATACCGAATTACTCTTTATTACGATTTTATACGATTATATACGTTTACCGTGTAAAACGCATTAAATGGTAGTTAGGAATTGCTATGCGGCCGTTAAATCTCGTGCCTTGCGAACAATTAAAAATTCGACACTTTTATTAAAATTTCGAAGAATGCTTCAAATAAATGTTGTAGGTATTCGTATTACCTGTAAAACAGGTCGTATACAATTTTCTTCTAATTCCAGTATTTAACGAGTTAAGTACGATTAATCAGGATTTTGTTGGTACTGAAAAAATTCGGCCGTTCTCAGCGTCGAAACAGCAAACTTTTGACAAAACATTCTTCTATCTCGAATACTTCAGAACTAATCGATTAATTAGTTCGTTTATCGCCAATTATTCCATGAGTGGAATTAGAAGGAAATCGCATAGGAGCTTTCTTGTAGATATTTGGCAACTATTCAGCACCGATCAGTGTGTTGCTTTCTATTTCTTATTTCGGTGGCAATATATTCTACGGGGCGCCAAAAATTACAGGCTTTTTCGTGCGACACGAAGTCCCATAAGGCTGCCACTCTTTAGCAACCTCTCCTCGGTCTGTTAATGAACAAACCCGTCTGATACCCACGCATAAAAGGTCAGTGGCACGTGATCGTTACGTCTGCACGCAACGTGCATCATGTTGAAGTTTACATCAACTTTTCAGAGTGCATACACCGTGTATCCGACCAGATCAAACAACTTCTGGAACTACACGAACGCGAAACCAAAAATAAATTGCCCGATAGTTTCGAATCGAATCGATGAACTTAAACAAGTTTATCGTATATACATGTACATATATGTATATTAAGCGAATTTACCCGGAACTTTTGTTCAAACAAATTAGAGTAAACTAGCTGATATTCATGGGAATTAACATCGTGTTGTTCTTGCAATTAAACCGTGATTCTTGCTACCGTGACCAAGATTCGAGCAAAGCTTAAGCGAAATCTGACCACAAAACTCATCTGACTGTCTTCTTGTGCGAGCGTGTTCAAATCTCATTGCTGTAATTCCTAGTCTTGTGAGACTCTTCGTAATTTTTCTCCGAGTAAGGGGTGCTTTCGTGAGCCTTCACGGCCCTGGTCACGAGCCTAGTGGTAGTCGAAGGTCGAATGGTATAGTAGTAGATGAGGACGACGTAAATCGTGACGCATGTAGTGCCAGCACCCCCGACGAGGTATGTGCTGGTATGTACGGAATCAACGTCGGGGCAACCAGCACAGGGTGGCTGACTTCGGTGGAGCGACGTCGGGAGGATTCACAGGGTGGTTCCTAGTCGCGTGCTCTCATTGCCAGGTGAGTAGCTTTTCTACGGATGTAATCGGTTTATACCAAGTATTTTCGCGAGTTGGTTCCTCGTTCCCGCATCAGGGACCATCCGCGTGGCTCGTTTCCGTGCCACGTGAAACTTCCGCATCATTGTCAGTATTAAACTTAACGCGTGTTATCATTTCGCGAAACAATCCTGGCACGAACTCGTACTGGAATGCTTTAAGAACAACTCACTGAATCGATCGGTGTTTTTCTAATACTTACAAAGTTTGTGTCGCTACGAATAACTGGGATCTATTTATACGTTATGTAATTCTGTATCTCGTCCTGTCATACCAGAAATTTGTCTACCAATTGTTGTAAGCATGCTTCTTTCGCCGAGCGTCAAGTAAGAATTCTTCATTTTATTTGTTTGCGGAGAACTTGATTGTGCTACGTAATTGTATGCGAAATGTTTTATTCAAAGCTGTTTAATTTTGTAGTAGTTATCTCGAATCGAATGTATGTATGTTCACGCTGTTTTTTAATCCACGAGGCAAGGGAAATGGTTTCGTGGTGTATTTGAAAGTAAAATGTTTAGCGTCGTGGAACGTAACGTTGCTTAATGATCCCAGTTTCGAGAAGTATGTCGCGATGCATGTTTCATTTCTCGAAGCAATTAAGATTATGCTGGTTTAAATATAAATTTCTGGATATTCTAAAAATACGAATGGAAATCTTTCGTTATCAATATTATCGATGTCGAAGGTTCTTTTCATACTGTACTCAGGTCTTCGCATTCTGTTCGTTGCAAAATACTTGAGGATATAACGTAAACATTTTTATAGATAGGTCAGTAAAATCGCGTTCGTTCTCTTCGTTTTTTGAATATCATATCGAGTAGAGTAAGTTTTCAGAAATTCGGATCGATCTTACTTCAATTCATCGCGGAAGTCGAACTAATTCGGGTTTCGGTGGAATTTATATTCCGTTCGAAATTCGTTCCACAATTTTATTGTGGCTGACATAAATAGCGAAAACCGAAAGAACGTCGACGAAGGCGGGTGGAAGCGGACTCTCTCATTCGTTTCCTGGTTATCCCTTGAGCAACATCCATTTGATTTTCAGAGAAGATCCGCTCACGTAGCACGTGTAACCGTTGTGCACGCGATGCCCGTGATTTGTTCGTCCTTTTATTAAGAGGAAGACACCGGCACCGGGACCGAAATGGCACAGGAAATCCCGGAGACAATGTACGTACCGGAAGCCGTGGAGGACGCGAGAAAGGAGCGAGAACGGCTCGCCGTTCAAGAGGGAACCGCCCTGTGGAGACGACGAAAGGAGGAGTTGCAACGTCAAAAGCACCGCGAACAGCGTGAAGTATGCCTCGTAAATGACTGTTGTGTGTTATTCACGTCGGCCACGTTGCTAACCACCGAACACACCCACGATCTTCTTTATTTTATTTCCTTCGGTATCGTCGATACCCGCGATCGAATAGAGATCAATGCGACTTCATGCCGGCAACAACCCTTACGGTTCCTACTGTTATGGCGTTTCTACAAAAGTTGGATGGGAAACTGCGGGAAATTTACGAGCCGGTGTAAAAGATTTTTCGTTCTGAAATGGGACCTCAAGCGTTCGTACTATACGTATATAAGTACTTCATAAAATAACGACGAAAAATATATCTTTAGTACGTGCATATGAAAACAATATTTTATGTTAGAATTATAAATTTCATTCGATCGGATGTCAATGAAATTGGTTTACGATAAGGCATTTTATAGAAATGCACTAATATTTCTGTGAAGAATTTCATGCCTGTTGCAACTGGCGTCGCAGTTTATTCATCAGAATTTATCGTAGATCGTGTTGGGTATAATTTATATGAATCGTATCATTAGTAGCTGTGCTGTAATTACTGCGTACATTTGCTCCGGTGGTTGTAAGAAATATTTCACTAATGAGCACAAACGTTTTCACGGCTTTTAGCGGAGCTCGCGTGTACCTTTCACTTATTGTTAGCCGAACTGTATTTTTTCCCGTCATTTCTAACGGAGCCCAAGGTGAAAAAGATTATATTTCTTTCAGTACGATAGAGAAAATCTTTTTATTCAATTCTCACGGTATTACGATTAAAACTGAATAAAAATAATAACTCTCTTAATTACCAAGCTCCGGGGTTTTGAATTGATTTAAAACCGTCCTGCAGTTTTTTAAATCTTCATAATCTTACATGCCTTAATTCTATTCTCATCCAATCGGAGCGCTTTAAAAGGGATGTAAATATCTATTTTATACAGTGGAGTTAGCAAAAGGAGAATTATTAACGCCATGGCGAATTTATTTTTTAGAGCAAAGATAGGAATATGAGGTAGAAGATTCATATCCGCTGAAAAACGTGGAACGTAATAAAAGATTTTAAAAATCAATTCCTTAAAATGCATCGGATTTGCATCATTGAGATGAGAACAGTAGCAGTTAGCTACAACTTTTGTGATTTGAAGAAATAATAAACAAAAGCATTCATTTCCAGTGATGCATCAAAGAGAATTTCGAAGTCTGTGAGCCTAGACTTCTGAATTATATTAAAAAATACGTGTAATTTTAATAAAGCGGATTAATTCAGTCTAATGAAAAATTCCATTATAATAAGGTTGAAATAGGATTTTTGGGAGATTATTTATTCTCAATGTACTTGCGTTGTAAAAATTCCCTTTTTCACGACTGGGCGCAATTTCCCCTTGTTTTATTCATACTTTTATGCAGAAAAATGATTCTACATGGATTTAATGAAATACTTTCATGCATTATTTGAAAATATTTTCTGTACGAAGATTCTCACTAAAAGTGGCATTAGAGTTTAAAAACAAGCCGCAAGCATATGTTGTGGGGAACTCGTTTAAACGAAGTTTCGTTCACAGAATATTGATATCCAAACGGAGTTCACGAAAAAGTGAAGTTGGATCTCGTTCAAATCTTTAGCCGGTTTTTCGAATCTTGTTGTACTCGATAGAGGTGCTTCGAGAGTCAGCCTTCGCGATGAGTTTCTCGGATGTTCGTCTTCGCAAACGATTCTGGTCTGACAATAGGGCCTTGATAAGCGCGCAGTAGAATCAATCCGTGCAGTGTCAGACGAGCGACCGCTGAAACACGGTGCTTTTTCATTGGCGTAGATATATTCTATGTTGCGAAATCTCATTTTGTAAAAAACCATTACATATTTTTGTTTATTTATTTCTTGTTTTTACAAGAAGCAAAGTTTTCAGGCAATCATTTTGCTTTTCCTTACAGTTCCAACAGATCTTGGAGAATTATTCGCCTTGGGGTAAACCAGGCGGTGGTGCCCCTTGCGCAGCTACCCTCAGGAAAAAGAACGTTCCCCTTGAATCCCCGGAATCATCGAAGCGTCACAATTTCGGACAGGTAAAACATTTAAATGTCGATATCAAACAAATATTGGATACGAATTGAAAGAATGGGTTGTGATATTTTTATTTACATTCAACGAGAATTTCATTCAGTGACTCCGGTGAGACATCTGTCAATTGTTATACAATATCTACATTGTAAAGTTGTGCACTATTTCTAGCACACTTCATGCTGTCATTTTAGCCTCGTCTATTCGTGTCAACCGGTGAACTGTCAGGTTAAACGTTTTTTTATTTAATAATTAAATAACTAAAGGAACAGGAAAATCGGTGAAAATCGCAAATGCAATTATCACTCGTGAATGCGAATTTTAAGCCGAATTCTCTTCCACTATATCGACGTTTCACGGTTTTGAAAAAATATGATCGTCGATAAATCTGTACCTACGTCACTGCACGCGTGATGAATACGCGTGACAAAAGCGAACATTCTATTAGAAATTGGATGCCATTCGTTCAATACTATCATGAATCGAGCTGGTTGCAAAGGCGCATCTGAATTTAATTAATTCTTATTACAATGGCTATTTCTGTTTTCCGCCGGTTAAGGAATTCAATTTTCTATTTTATTATTAGATAAAAAATAGAATGTATTAACAATAATAATTTAATCGTATTTTGATCGGACATGAAATATTTAAAAATCGCTTTTATAATAGAACTATGAATTAATAATTGTTTATTTGCTGTTCTATTTCTAACAATAAGCTACTCCGTAAATACGTGATACACTCGGTTGAAATTAAAACTGTGATTTTAGTATTACTTGCCTCGCTGCAAATAACGGTTGAAATAACATTTTCAAGGCTTCGTCCGGTCTTCCTAATATGGCAAAAATCTAATTTCTTTCATCCGCGAATTCGCGTTTTATTTAGTTACGCTACTCCGGTGTGTTTTCGCGGTATATTTCTATTCAGTTTACCTTCTTTTTAGAAATATCCTTCCTCGTTAGAAATTAATGAAATCTGCAGCATGGGAGAATTTCGCTTTATTCTTAATAAAAACGCATGCCCCTTTATACTCAAACTTCTCTCGTATTATAACTCATCGTTTCCCGCGATCTTGAATAAAATTTGTTTTACACCCATAAACTAACGGGGGATATGTTTCCCTTCGAAGGTAGAAAGCCATGAGAGAGAAACCAGGGACTGGGTACGATTGCGGCATTCCGAGCACGAAAGCCTGCAAATATAGTATTACTCCTCGACGTGACATTCTATACAAATATGTATACATGTGTATGTACAAGTATGAGGGTGGACGAATCGGATCGAAGGTTGTTGATAAAATTAGAGGAAACCTCGTTCGAGAACGGCGAACAATTGGCGAAAGAGCGGAAAGGATGTCGATCCTTTATTATTCTAACAATCCCGGGAACTGTTATCACCGCGAAGAAACGCTGTCCGATTAATGACCGTGCAATCGTTTGCCCTCGAACGTGTTTCAAGTGACGCAAACAGTCCCGGCGATCGTTCGTGGTCGTGATTCTCGAGGAGAAACTAGTTCGGGAGGAATTCATTTGCAATTCAAAGTTTAAAAAGATAGTGTGCAGCTGCCGTTATGCCCCGCCGTACCTTGGCGTTCCCTGCTTAAAACATGTGATTGCACGGGTATACGAGCAACTCCGCTTCTTTGGCTAATTTGGCTCGCTTCTTTCAAAAATTTATCCGAATATACCCTTTCGTGTAGCATCGAAGTTTATCAGGACTTTGTGCGCTTGTTCGCATAATCAGCAGCCTTATGTTGCTATAATTTTAGTCTGCCTTCGGCGAATCTGGCGTTTCCGCCTCCCAAACGACCCATAAAGATTCCGTTGATGCAAAACAGGTGATATGCCACGGAGACGGTCTCGTTTTTTCATCCTCTTTAGTTATGGATACACTTTGCTAAGGATCACAGTCGGGACAGTTCCGCGTTAGGTATTTTTTCTCACTGGAAGTCAATTCTTTATTATCCCTAATGCTTCAAAGACGTCGCGACGGGTAAAGAGTTGCCGTCAAAGTGTTGGCGACTGGCTGATGGTAGAAGGGTTAGAAGGCAGTCATAGTCGTCGTTATCATGCCTCTGCTTGATAAAATCCAGCGATATCGTCGTCACCTCGGTGACGTTGCCTTTCATTAACATCCCAAGCGACCTGAGGCGCACGGAAACCTTTCTGCCACCTCGTTCATGGAATATGTATTACCTACGAGTATCGATCGGCACGCGTCGATATTCTTTACAAGCTTAACGATAGCTTGTTAACGAACCTCGGGGAGATCTCTCCGCGGATAATTCTCTGGATCATTAAAGTAATACGGGTAGATGATTTGGTGAACGGGATGGGGACGTAAAAATTGCATATATTTAGATTAGACCGGTTCATCGAGGAGCTTAGCTGCCTTCTGAGGCTCAATCTCTCCCCAAAATCTGCCCTCCGTATGTTCATTTTATAATTGAAACTTTATCTACCTCCTGTCGATTATTCGAAATAACTGTGATTATCTCTCCCTACGGCACGGCGTTTCTTGTATTTCTTAAACTCATGCAAGTGCTTCAGACGGGAGACACACGTAATCTTTACTCGCAAAGCGGAAACGTTTGCGTAATGATCACGTTAATATTACAAACAATTCGAAACGAGCAAAGTTTACTCGCGACGCGAAACATTTCGTAATGGACTTTTCTTGTACGGTAAGCGTGTAACATCTTTTTCGTGGCAATAACGTCGATAAAGAGAGAATGTCGACATAGCTCGGTGTTCAAACCCGTTTCCGGTCCGACTGTAGACGTATCGTTCTCCGATCACGTAGAGCTGGAAACGTTTCCACTGGCTTCCTAGCGAGAAAGTCGATTTCTCTCGTAGACGGGAGGGAACTTTACGCCGAAAGAATTTTCTCAGAAAATTTCTACGGAAAATAGGGTTCCGAGTCGTCTTTTTGTTTCACGGATCCAATTCCGATCGTTCGGATTTGACTTTGGAAATTTCTCAAATTTATAGCGCGATGAATTCTCTGCTTGATTGTTCGCACTCGTATGCTTCGTCAAATATCCCAACGAGATTCTTTTACGCAAAGGAACGCTCTCATGTACTTTTATAATAACGAGATGCTTGTCTCAAGTTTTTCGTCACGCTCTACTAGGGTGAATTCAGATCGCGTGTTAGGACGCACCAGGTGCAATGATTTCGAGCACGTGCTCGAACGCAAGGCAAACCACTCTGTGGATGTAGGAAACGAACCTTGGAAACTGCTTAATATGCTATGACGCCGTGTGCTTAGCTGGCGCATCTCTGGCCCTGGGGTCGACCCGGTCCTGGAGGAGTTCCTTGGAGGGATCCCAAGTTGCTGGGTGTGCGCTTCCTTGAATCCTTGGTACGCATACTTCCTGATGCGTTAAGTACTGCTGGAATCCATGATCGATCCCATTTCGGTTAAGCTCTAATTGAGGACTTAGGACCTCTACATTTAGAAGATCGAGCTTATTTATTTCTTATTATTTTCCAAACGCGGCCAAGAATCACTGATAGTTCTCACATATCTAGAGGATCAACGTTATTTAGAAGAAACTCACAGCTTTCTCGTATGTATATATGTAGATCTACTTTACCTCGGGACGCACGACTAGGGATCGCTGAAACTGCGGTGTAATCGAGACATGTTGGCTTTCCGACTTTCCAGGACTTGTACATATGTAAATAAATTAAAGTTGCATTGAAGATGCGAGCGTAACGACGCGCACTGTGTCTACACAAAATCGGGCCGCAGGTTTTTCCATCGGGCCGAATATATCGTACACACAGTGGGTGTCGGTAAACGATGTTTGAAGTGGAAATTAGCGCTTATAGAAGCGCGCTTTCGGCAGTTGCGTTTCCGTGGAGACGCGCGACTTCAATCGGATCCAATCGAGCCCAGCCCCCCGTCCTCTTTTCGGCCTCTCCCTTCGGTCTTCGAGGAACGAAACTCTTAATTTTTAATTAACCGCCGTAGCAGCATCCTCGAACGGCAAACACATAACAGTGCCGCGTTACTACGTAATTGAACGATCCTCCTGGCTACCATCCGCGACCGGAAAGTTTAAACTGAAATTTATTAGCGCGTTCCACTTCAGCCAAGTTTACTTCTTCCTGTACGTAAGCTCCTCCTTCGGCTTACACCCGCACCCGTCCCTACCCGCGGCATCTTTGCCCCGTTACCTTTTGCCTCGTCTGTTCAAACCATCGCGGTCTCTCCCTACTCCGTGAGCACATCCCCCGTTTCATGGGCACGGATTTATGGCTGCTGGATTTATGGAAGGTTTTCTGTTTGCCTCATAATAAACCGCACGGCCTTGTCGTAACTAACCAGCTAACTAGAACGACGTTGATGAATGAACGGAGCGTTAAGTCGAGCCTGGCTAAGCGATTACTGATTACGCGATGATATATTTTTATCACTCATCCGTCTGATTTATTTGATTCATCTCGTATTCCGCTGTCCTTGAAATCCCGGAGTCCTTAAAATCTTTCTGATGGTTCTTGCGCAAAGACTATGAAGCACTTTGATATTACGCGAACACTGCTAGAACTTAGAAGCGATCTACCCAAGTTGTGAATACCAATGAACTTTCCATTTAAGTTGATTCGCTTAGCACACTGCACCGGCTGCACCCAGTTTCAGTGCTAGTTACCAGTTCGAACCCTTCCAGGGGTGGACGAGCGATTCGACGATCGAAAGGTTACACAGAAGGAGCATTAATCCTTTGCCCGTTACGGATATGAACAAGTTCTTTGATGATAAGGCGGAATCAGGTAAACGGACGGAAGTTCTCGCGTGTCTATGTTGCAAGGCCAGCAGCAGGCTTCGGTCCGGTTTTTAGGTCAATTCGTTCTGCAGGTATCGCGACGGACACGCGATTCCTCGAGGATACGAGCAATCGGTACAACGAGGAGGTTCAGGTTTACGAATTGACCGGAGGCGTGGAATTGGTTCCGCTTTTGACTAGCAGACGTTATTACTCGCGGCCGCAAAACGCTCGTCATGTTACCGACGCCACGCGTCCCGGATACACGATAGAATCGTATGTATCAGCATTAGAATTTGCATTTGCAGACTTATTTTGATTTTCAACGGCTGACGTCCTCACTGCATTTCCATTTCACTTGATTACTTTTCCTTGCTATTATTATACATGTTGTTCTGTCACATATGCTTTGCTTGTTCTCACGTTCAACACGTTCTCAATATTAAAGGATATACAATGTCAGAATGCGACGAACCATGAAACTTGCAATGCAAGCATGTTAACGTTGTCGTGACGATACTCGGAGGACGTAACTGCATTAAAGATAATCAACCCACTGACCTGAACTGCCTCGACAACTTCATCTACCGTCCCTTTCCCCTCGCATGCTTGTCAGTGGTGCATTCTACGTCGCTCTATGTGCTCGTCAAGGCGGTTCTCCCATTTGATATTTTCTCCGGGCCCTCGTCCTTTCCTGCTTCGGAGATGTTCGGGTAATTATGTAGTGAAAAATTGCTCAAAGCGGCTTAATCTCGTCGCATTTTGTCTACCACGTTCCTTATTTTAAAATATTATACTATTTCTCCTTTCCATTTTCAACATGATTTTACTTCCTTCGCGATGCAGAAAGGAAAATTAGTTCTATTTGAAATGCCTGCTTGCTTGGAGAAAATTGAATTTTTAATGACGATTAAACTTGTTTAAGTATAAATGATCCTTTTCTTTCAATATTCCTCGATTCTACTGTTTTTTTACACTTTATTCCCGACTTTCATTTGTATGCTCTCAAGATCACGCCGGTTATTAAGAAGCCGCAAAATTTCTTTCATCTCCCGGGTAACTCTCTGAAACTCATTCTAAGACTGAAGTAGTATCATCGCGATTGAATTATTCAAGATTCATTATGCTTGCGAGGAGATTTGATACCCTTCGACATCTCCTGGAACTATGTCTGACTATCGATCGATATTTCTACTGGAAGGTATTTCGCGTTCATAAATCTTCATCAACGCGAACTGTCGACAGACCAGTATAATTCTTGAATAAAACATTATCATCAGTTGCAGCTATCTAATTGTTCTATCATTTTATTGCCGTAGAATTGATTATACGTATAACGGAAGGCAAGGGTGACACTGTTCTATCGTGATGCCGTTATACCGATTACAGACGGGAACGTCGCGAGACTGATGTATAATGAGACACTTTGATAGCGTTTAATGGAATTCTGTATGAAGCGATCGCCAGGGGTGTTACGTTGTTTATAACATAGCTGAACGTAGCTGGGAACACTGCAGCAATTAATCATCCTCGATTATCGGCCGCTTCATTAAAGAATATAAAACGGAATCGAGACAAGAGAGAAAGATATATTATTTCATTGCATGACTTCGTTTAAAATTGTTAAATAATCGATAATGTAATTACGTTGGGAGCAAAATCCACCTTAACGATTTCTTCCTTTGATAATTTCATTTCACTTGTTGGTTATTCTTTATGCTTATTCAAAAGCCTCTTAATTTGACGATCTCTTCTTCTTCTTCTCTTGCGAAATAACAAAAGGAAGACATAGGCCAAATTCCGGGCATAGCCGGTTCTTATCTTTGTTAACGAAGAGACTCTCTGTACCTTCGAAGAATGATTCTCGAGGAAAGAATAGACATCGGAACAATGCGCTGCTCCTATTTCTGCTGACAACTCGTTTTTGTTAGTTCCGTAACCAAAAATAAATCTTTAAATAAAAATCTTCTAAAAAAAAGAAGTTTATAATCCCGTACAACTCCGTTATTCAAATTATGAATTTCAGTTTCCTTTTATCAGTATTTTATACCTCCTATTTCCATCTCACAAACAAAAGCAGGATTTTTCGTAGGTGAAAAAAAAAAGAAAGAAGGGGATTATGAGATTCCATGTGTAATATGAGAATTGCGTTCTCATCAGATTTCCTACCGTTTTATACGTACAACCAAATGGTAAATATTCTTAAAACGGGCTGTCTGATGTACGTGTCTCGTAAAGTAACATCGTACGCTTATCTTTTCTCACGCGTTACAGTTACAAAGGCGACTTAAGTCTCTCGCGAGCAGGAAGACAAGGAATTACCTGAAATGCTTGCTCGAATCCTCTAGATAAAACCGAATAAGTCTTTGAAATTTCACTTATTCTACACTTGCTCTTTTCATTTCATGTCAGAGGAAAATAGTCGGATATTTTTGCAAGATTAAAGACGACACGTTTACTTTATTTATTTACAAAGAATAACGCTGATAGAATGCTCGTACGTACCGCGTTTGAATAGGATAATGTTCGTATAAAAGGTCGTAGCCTCGGGTACAATATTCCAATGGTTCTCCGAGGACAATGAAAGTTTGTATTGCAAGCTAGTCCTTTCTTACTCCAGAGTGAAAAGTATGTAATAACAAGCGTACAGCATGCTCGCTTCATATATTGTCATCGTAAAAAACCGGATCCCGTCCTCGGCACGCTTTTCTTGCTTCCTTACAACAGCTCTCTTAACGCACTCTCGCATTTCATTGGGATGTTCGCGAGCTCCTCCAACGCGACCAATGAATGTTTTATAGATTGACACGAAGTCCATCGAGAGCGTGGAACAGTTTTCAGCGGTGAAACATGCTATCGACATGCATGAATATTTTTCTTCCCTCGTCGTCGAGGAAACAATTTCGGATCGATTTTAAAAACTGTTCATCGCGTGCAAATTAATCAACAACAATGGTTGTTTACGCTGGACGGTCAAAAACGGTATTCGAGAACGCGGCTATTCGCGAAGGCTATTTTCGAACTGAAGCAATTTCGCAACGGCCGGCATTATCGTAAGTTTTCATACGTATCGTAATGAGTGTTGCGGCCATTATCCGCGCCCGCCAGAATCAGAAGTTATTGTTGGAATATTTATACCGGCGCGCTCCCATTTTGTTTCGCCGCGGTTGAAAAGGTTCGCAACTCGCCGAGCCGAACTCGCGAGTGGGGTATTCGCAATTTAAACCGGCGTTACATTCTACGCGAAGCAATTATAGATCGCAATTCTCCGTCGTTTTTTCGATCGGGTAGATGCGCAACGGCGACGACGTTCGCCGCGTAAAAATTGAAGGTTGCTACTCGAAATGCGGCGGATAAAATTTGCAGTTAACGGAGATGCCTCGCTTCGCGTTGCAATTTGCTGCATCGCGTCAGCGTATTGTAATAAAACACCGCTCTTGCGTCGCACTCTTTTCCAATCACTAGTAATTGCTTCCGGCTGAAAAGACCGCACGAAATGCGAGCATGACGAGAGAAAGAGAGAAAGAGAATCATCGAACGATATTGGAACATCCGTGAAGGTTGATCCGCAACCCGCTTTTGTCGGCAGATTACGCGCGCTGGGTGTTGGGAATCGCGAGTACATCGGTGAACTCGCCGAGCAAGTGCGACGAAAACGGGAGAAGGCATTGGTAAGTGCACAATGATAGTGAACAATCGTGGTACAATGGCGCGGTAACTCCATCCCGGGTTAATTGCATCGATCTTCTCTACGCGTTCCACGCGATTCAAACATGTTTAACACGATAGCGATAGAAGATTCTGTAGAAGTAGTGGTTTGCAATTATCCCGAACGAACTTGTTTGTTTATTTGAAAATTTAATCTTAATGATAGAATCATCACTTCTTGTAACGTCTAGTTTCTCGTTTCTTTTACTCTTCGTGTTAATGCTACGACGTTAAGTGCAATGTTAGGAGAAGGAGAGTCTTAAACAATTCTGTTGGAAATTGATATTCATTTCCACTAGTCACGAGAGGCGAATAGAGCTCGTTAAAGGGGCTGATTCTCGTTCCAGGAGGAACGACGCGTGGAGCAAGAAAGTTCTCGGAGACATTTCGATACCTGGAGAAAGTTCTGGGGTCGACCAGGTCACGGCGCACCCATAGATCATACTCACCGTAACAATCTCTGTAACATTCTGTACCGGTCGGCCATCTATTGAATTTTCTCCCTTAGCTGCACGGCGCAAAATCAGCGCCTATGTACGTATATACTTAGAAGCAATGGGACAACTTTCTATAAAATCTCATTAGAGAAGAATTGTTGTGGAACAAATAACTGGTTATGGGAGATAAATAAGTTCACGACTTTATTATAAGATAATGGAATAGTAAGATGGATTGCTAAAATTTGATTACAGTCGTTCGAGTAGAAAGCAAATGAGTCGGATACAATCTAATAAATAATGATAACCACTATATGGAAAGTAGCTTGCAGTGTGTAATTAATTAAGTATAATACGTAGGCGAGTACAGGTAGCGTAGTGCTTAGTTACTTTAATAAGATTTCAGTATTTTCGAGAGATTGTTAATAATTAATTACAACAGCTCTTGCGTCTCATGGATTTATAACTAAATAATTTATGCCCAGGAAGACATTTATTTGTAATAAAATACATTAGGATAATTATAAGAATATTTCCTATGTTTATTAGACATGTAGAGACTTCAGATTTATCAAATGATGTATGCAATTTAAAATTAATTACGCTTACCTAAGATCCTGCTTATATAAAGGTGTTAGTGTACGACGAATAAATCGTTAAGCTTGTTTCTATAAAAAATATCTCTTTTACGTTATCAAGAGACGTTGATTCATCCTGAGAGGCGATAAGTATTTGAAGGATGATTTCATCTGTCCGTGGAAATACGGAGGTGAAATCAGTGGAAAGGATTTCGCCAAGGTAGTACAGGACGAATCGAGTCGAGAGAACGTGTCGGGGCGATCTATTAAATTTCATGAAAGCTCTCCAAGGAAGACGTTTGATAAAGCCAGAGCCGATGCTACGATTGACCAGACCTCAAAGGAGCAATCTCATGAGTACGTGGCTACCCGACTCGATGGTTTTTACATTTCATCAACGTTGAGGGATAAGAATTTGAATAGATTCATGCATACACGTGTGCGCACCGCACCCATTTGTATCCGTGCTCGCGCGTCTGGTCCAGGGAATCTAACTTGAGCGATCGTCAAAAGAAACGTCCCTTGTTACTATCGATGCTGCCTGCTATACTCAAAAACTTTATTGGTTACTTCGGTTCACGGGCATCAAAGGACGGAAGCCGGTACAAACGGACGGGAAGAAAGGGAAAGAGGAAAGTCCCGGCCTCGTAAAACAGTTTGCAATATCGCATGCCATGCTAAACGGGGCGAGCGCTCCTGTGCGTTTGAACGCAGCGTTCAAACATCTGCTTCCTGTTCCATAATATTTCCGGGGAATGCTCGATGAAAGTTCAACCCTTCAAGTCCCTGTCTACCTTCCGCTGAAATTGCATTTGAAGGGACTTGCTATGAATAAATATATACTTAAAGATCCTTCCGCTTTATTTTACAAAAGTACACATCGCGACGCAAGAAGCAATACCACGTAAGGTGGTTCTATCCCGAGTACCGTGTCTCGCAAATTCTATTCATGTACCATTCAAGATTATAATGTAAGCTTGTATTTCTTGGTTAAACGTATCAGGCCAACGAAAACAATTCAGTAATTCAAGTGTAATAACAACGCGATAGAAATAATAATAATAATACTTTATTTTACGGACAAAGCCCATTATAACATACAACAAAAAGAATACAGTAATAATATAGTAGAAATAATGGACATAAGATAAAATAAAAAGAGAAAGAAAAGAAAAAAAACATATATACGGTTTCGTTTTAGTTATCTGAGTAGAATAACTATTTCGGTCCTTTGGAAAATAATCCTGCCTGTTACATCGATCGCCCCGCACAATATGCTAATTATACTATTAATGGCCAATGGAGAATGAGATCTCTGTGCCTAGCTCGTAATGAACGTACGCCGATTATTAATTCCCCTATCGTCACCGATTACACACACACTACAGTTTTTATTTCTAAATGCATGCCATTGTTCCATCGCCGGTCGGACATAGAGAGCTCCATCCACTTTCGTCCTTTCCAAGCTTCGTTCGCCTCCCCTCCCCCTTATCCCTCTGAAAACGGCTACGGAATCCAGCGGTTGTCTTCCTGGTTACGGATCCCGTAGCCACTGCCACCCCCTGAAAGCAACGTTCCCCATTGTCTGACTATTGTATCCCGTTACCGCTGTGTGTCCGTTCGCGTTTGTAAAGAGTGATTCATTTTCCGCGAAATATCAGTTCCTGTGCTGCCCCGCATGAATTGCGACTCCGCGTAAAACCGCCGCTAGCGCGGTTTGCAGTCCCCTTCCTCCTTTTCGCGACGTCGACACCCACACGTTCGACCCTTTCCCACACCTCCTCGTTCATCGGTTTCTCTATTTCTTTCGCATTGTCGCAAAATTGGGTCGGGTGTTGAAATGAGATACACGTATGCGACTAACTGCAGCTATGGGGTGGGAGAGCAAAAATTGGTAATTGCTATCTACCTCCTACCTCTTTCGCTTTTTCCACACGCGACGCTGTTTGACGCGTATTTAGGGAGCGAAATTCAGAGATAGAAAAAAAAAGTATGGACGCCCCTTCCGGTTGGTTGTTTGCGGGGGTTCTTTAATTTCCGGGTTTGCTTTCGGAGGACAATCGAATCGTCGGGTTGAGTCATGTGCCTACAGTATCTTTAGTATTCCACTTTCAGATAATAGAAGAACACTGCCTGTTATATTCTTCTGAAATGGAAGCTTTAGTAGCGCTCATATCGTTTATTTTTATAAATTAATCGCGGGAGTAATTGGGAACTTATTATATTTCCATGAGGAAGAAGTCTGTGGCGAAATGTATAATTAAAAAATTCTTACTTTTACCTGAATCCCTTTCTTTTATAAACATGTATTATGATTTTCTGTTTAACGTTTGTTCGAATGAGAATAGATTATCTATCTGGCACAGTTCTATAAACAGTAACTCGTACAAAATTATTAAACGTTATCCATTTGCTCTGTTGAGCAAACGTAAATCTATTAAGGATGTATAGGCTATATACTTAAACAATGCTAGCATGTTGAATTTGTTATATAGATTCCTAATACTATTAAAAAGCTACCTGCAAAATTTTAA